GAACTTTAAGGAAAAATTAAAGAAGTGATAAGGAACAGACTGATGTTATAGTTAACCACCTTGGTTGTTAATTTAGTGAACAGAACTGGATTATACCATACAAGTAATCTTCCAAAAGGTCATGAAAGTGCGTATTATGGAACAAAAAACTATGCATGCATTTCAAATTATTTTTGGACCAAAATAAGCCTATCTTTTAATTCCGTTTTCCCATGAACTTTTTAAAACACCCTCATACGTGGTCAGGAGGTACTGTTCCATAATTCTGCAGTGTTTGGCAGCAGTTAAACTTCCATCTGGAATTTTCCCCTGGTTTGGATTTATTGGAGAGAGAAAGAGAGAGAGCAACTAGCTGCCATTTGCTGGTTCACACCCCAAAATGCCCAGACGGGTGGGGGTGGGGAGATGAAGCAAGAACTCAGGTCTCCCAGCTGGGTGGCAGGGACCCAGTTACGTGAGCCGTTGCCACTGCTTCCCAGGGTGTGCATTGGTGGGAAGTTAGAGTTAGAAGCCGGAGCCAGCGTTAGCCTCCAGCACTCCACTGTGGTATGGGGCATCGGCCGTCTGCCCTGCCAGACATGTAGCCACATTTGGAGAACCAGAATGGACCCAAACCAAAGTAAAGGGACGTTTTCCCCTCAAGAACCCGCGAAGGCCATCTGATTGTTCCACATGATGGAAGACAACGCTAGTCAGTTCTCCTTCAGTGACGAATGAGAGAGACTACTGCAGCCTACAGCTCAGCTTGGAAAGTTGTTTCAAGCATGGACAACTCTTAAACACACCATGATTACATTAAAATGCTATTATGAGAAACCGCTGTGGCCTGAAGGGCCCCTCCCAAGTGCAGGTGTTGCCAAGGAGGCAGCGTGCAGAAGTGGGGCCTGTGACAGGTGTTGCGGCCATGACAGCTGCTCCTCGGAGAGCGGGATTAGGGCCCCTTTATTTTATTTTATTTATTTATTTTTTTTGACAGGCAGAGTGGACAGTGAGAGAGAGACAGAGAGAAAGGTCTTCCTTTTGCCGTTGGTTCACCCTCCAATGGCCGCTGAGGCCAGCACACCGCGCTGATCTGATGGCAGGAGCCAGGTACTTATCCTGATCTCCCATGGGGTGCAGGGCCCAAGTACTTGGGCCACCCTCCACTGCACCCCCGGGCCACAGCAGAGAGCTGAGGGCCCCCTTTAAAGTAGGCTTCAGCTAGCCTCGGCCCACTTGCTGTCTGCTCTTCCACCAAGTGAGGGCAGAGCGTTCCTCCCTTCCAGAGGATCCCGCCCTTGCCAGCCAGCCAGGTCTGCCGGAGGCTTCATCCGGGACTTCTCCGCCTCCAGAACCGTGAGAAAATAAACTCGTGTTGTTTTAAAACTAGCCAGCCGCAGGCATTCGCCCCCAGCAGCAGGAAAGGACTAGGACACGGTGTCTTCTGGCGGGTTCGCATTTGCACCTGCCTGGCTGGTCGGGCCATCTTAGGATTTGCTCCTTGATTCTGGAAATCAAGAAGAGATGGGTGTAGGAATGAGGTTTGCAGCAAGGTTGTGGAGCTTGCCAGGCTCAGAGACAACTGGAAGTGTGTACAGGGCTAGGGAAGGGTTCAGGAGCAAAGGAAACAACACCATCGTCATTAGAAAACGCTTTTAAGGGCCGGCGCTGTGGCATAATGGGTTAAGCTGCTGGCTGCAATGCTAGCATCCCTTGTGGGCCCTGGTTCAAGTGGCTGCTCTACCTGTGACCCAGCTCCCTGCTAATGTGCCTGGGAAAGCAGTAGAATATGGCCCAAGTCCTTGCCACCCACATGAGAGACCCAGATGAAGCTCCTGGCGTCAGGCTGGCCCAGACCTAGCCATTGTGGCTATCTGGGGAGTGTGAACCAATGGATGGAAGATCCAATCTCTCTGTCTCTTTCTGTAACTCTGCCTTGCAAATAAATCTGATAAAAAGAAACAAAAAGCACTTTGGAGCATATTGAGCTACAGAATGTGTTAAACAATCAATACATCATTTCTGCTTCTGAGTTTTTAAAGCTTTGCATCGGAAAACCCTAGCCTAGGGCCTGCCTTGAAAATGTGTCTGTCGCTTAACTCAGAGGAGGTATCTGGATCTCTCAGCCAAATTTAAATAAAAATCTAAGCACACACAAGAGAAGATCACGGTTTGGAAGAGGCCATTTTGGCCTGCATAGATTACAAAAAAAGTACATAAATCTAGATCTATGAGAAATACATGTAGAAAATACCCGTATTTTCCAACAAACACTAAAGGTTTCCCCTCTTAAACCAGCGACTCTGAGAAACGAGGCAACAGAATCTCAAAATGAGTTTTCTCATGGGCCATGCCTGTGTGCTCTTCCATCACATTGTGCCAGCAGCGTCCGTGGCGTGTTTTTCCTGCCGCCTCCGTAAGTTTAATCTTGTTAGCACTTCAGTTTTCTGCTGCTTGTCCAATTGACTCTGCCTTCTTTTTTATAACCTCAGATTTTCTGTGGTGCTGGAGGAGGTGGCGAGAGTCATTTTCTGTTCTTTGTAAATCTTCTCCGTGACTTTTTGTCTTCTTCCTTCTCCCTAACGGACAAATGTACTGAAGCTTCCACGTGAATGAACACTCGCACACGGTTCCATCCGCCTATCCTGTCCACATTTCATTCTCGAAAACCAGATTCAAGGCATTTGGCCTCGGGAGTGCTTAGTAGGAGGCCCTGTGGCCAGGAGGTGAGTCCCCAGGGCCCCGATCCGTCCGCCACAGCTGGGCGGCACCATTTCTCTCCCTGAGGTTCCTGAGAGAAGCTTATTTTTGCCTCACTGGCGTGACCTCACCCAGAGCTTCAAATTCTGCCCACCCGCCCGCCCGCCCGCCTGCCCGCCTGCCTGCAGCAGAGACGCGAGTTAGAGGGGCTGCGAGCTCCGTGGGGAGACCAGAGAGGAAGTCTGCCCCCCACCCCTCTGACCTGGCTGGAGTTTTATGGGGTGAGGAGTGAAAGTCTGGTTCTTTGCGGAACAAAGGATTTGGAGGTGTCTTGAATTCGTTGCATAATTGCAGGTTGACTATTTGGCATGGTGTCCTCAGTTCAGCTGCAACCCATTTTCCTGTCCCCAGCATTGCCTCTGGGGTCGTGTTGCTTGTGCTCAAAGTCCATTATTTTAGCATTACTTTCCATGCCCTCGAGTCAAAAGAAAACTTGCTAAATGTTTGCTGTAGTCCAGGCACCCTCCATGCTAAACCACACTGACGTTAACCTGTCTCTTGGCTCCCTCCTCTCTCTGTCTTCATCCCCCAGCTTCTTAAAAGTTGTATTCAACACACTTTTAAAGTCCTACAGTGTCTGCTACCACCCATTGAGGAGTCCTGGGTTCCCACCACCTCTACCCTGTTTAAGCTAGAGCGAAAGGATGGCAGAGGCGGTTCCAGGCTGGGTGGCTATGAGGAAAACCAGCCTTTCTGAACCCCAACAGCACAGGGCACCACATCCCCCGAGGCATTTTCCTTCTGGATGGTAATAGGCTTTGTCCACTCGAGAAGGGTAGTGTGCATTCCTGATCTTGCGGAGCAGCCCAGCCTGCAAGGACCGGCTCCATCAGGATTCCAGGGGGGAAGCCTGGTCCTGAGGGAGGCCCTGCCTATCAGGGAAGGGTGGCCATGTGGGCTCCCTGCCAGCCTCAGGCCTGCCCCTCCGGCTTGGCGCTCTCCAGTCCACACCCGTGAGGCCCTCCCTTGGCCATCCTGGTCAGATCCACCTGCCCCCCTCACCACTCTTGCCTGCTTCATGCCTAGACCAAAGGTTAGCTGGAACTAACACTCAGTAAAGGTGACCCAATGTGTTCTGGAACTCAGCACAAGTAAGGAATGGACATGTCCATGGGTTTCCCCTCTGGTGGGGACCAGGGACCGATTCTTGACCCACAGTTGTTTTCCTTCTGCCCTGGTAACTGTGAAGCAAAGAATGCAAACTCCTGATTGTCTGCCATCCTAGAACAAGGCAAAGTCTGACCCTGATCTCTCACTGTGGAATCCAGAGGTCTCTATCAGCACTAGGCTGATAGACCCTTGAGAGAGAGAAGGCAAGCAAATGACCTAACTGAGGAATTCAGGGTTAAGGTGTGCATTTGAACGTGACTGTCTAGTAGGACATGCCTAAAACATGCGGAACTGAAGATCCGTCTTAGCCAAGTACAATCTATTTGTATACATTGAAAACTGATATTCAGATGAATCAATTAACCTAAGTATATTCATAGTCCTTAAGTGTGCAGAATGTACCCACTCCATTTCCATCAATCATATTGCATGAAGTAAAGTTCTCTTTCTGGGCTACTGTATTTGTACAAAAAATATGTCTAGGTAATGTAAGCGTAGTGAAAGATGAGAATGCTTGATTCCTTGACGCATTTAAAACCTGCAGGATCCTGAGCTGGACTGTGGAACTGCCCAGTTCCTCTGCTGCCTGGATTTATACTTTACTATGTGGCACAGGTGAGCTTTTTGGGTTCCAGGCTGTGTCACATATAGTTCTGTGGCTGGACTCTGGGCCTTGGTGTCCTCATTTAATGTGACAGGCGAGCGAAGTTATCACGGAATTTGGCTTTGACTCATCCATTGTAGAACCCAAGGGAAAGAATGGTCCTTTTGTAGTGGTCTCGGGGCTCTGACTGCTGCTGGGCTCCTGCTGCACAGATGCAGCGTCACATGGGGGTGCAGGGACATCTCACTGGCCAGGGCCCTGCTCTGACATAGTGGCGCTCGATTGTTTTTATGAAGAGAATAGCTGTCATAGATGCTTTGTTGTAAGGAGAAGCAAACTTTGAAAATGTTCTCCAGCGTCTGGGGATGGGAAAGTGCAAAATGCAACATCCTTAGTGTTCGCGTGCCTCACTCTTTGGCTCTGCATACTCACGTGCCAACTAGTTAGGAAGGGCTGAGTCCCTAGGCTTGCCATGGAAAGCTTAGGTTTGAGTAGAGGCAGGTTTTGCTGCTTAGCCTGCACTTGCCCGCCCCCAGCACCTGTTCTCCCAAGGCCCGCCTGGCTCGGGGGAGGCCTTGTGGACTGGGTGCTGCTCCGCCAGGGCGGCGCCCAGCAGAACACGCAGCCCAGGTGTCTTGGGTGAGGGGCCTGGGGCTTGCTCGCTTTGGTGGGTGGGATGAGGTCCAGTTCCTGCTGGAGAGGCGGCAGTTTTGATAACTAAAGCAGTGTTTTGAGGATGGTGACCAACAGGAACCCGTCTTCATTACCCAGCTGCGCCCTCCCCTGCCCCGGACCCGGCGGGCGCCTGCAACCCCCACCGCCCGCGAGCCGCCCACAGAAGGCGTGCCCTGGAGCCAAGCACCCCTCGGCGGCCACCTGCGGGGCCCGGGCAGCCGGGTGTGGGGCGCGAACCGAAGAGCGCGCGGCGGGAGCAGCGGTGGCGGAGGAGGGGCCGGAGCCGGGAGCGCGGCCGAAGGTCGCCCCGTCCTCCAGCGGCTGCCACTTGACTGAGCCGTGCGCGGGCGCGAAGGCGGCGCCGCTGGACCGCGTTCTGCCTCTGCCTGGCCTCGGTTCCGCCGCCGGGACGCCGGCGAGCCCCCCTCTACCCGGAACAACGCCCGCCGCGGAGCTGCCGAGAGCGGTCCGCCGCCCGCCGGGCAGCCGCAGCGGGGCGCACGGGCGCGGGGCGCGCAGCTGGCCGGGCGGTGAGTGGCCCGAGTGCACATCTGGGAGGAGCGCGCCGGGCTGGCGTGCGTCTGTCCATCTCGGCTCGGCTGCTGTGCCCTGCTGATTGCCCGGGGCGGAAATCAAATCAACGAGTTCCAGGAGGTTTGAATTAACAGCGGACGCCCCTTGGCCAGCTGTCCGCTGATGAAGGAGCGAGCCCCCGGCGTTCAAGGCATTTCGCTGGGAGTTGCGGTGTCAGCCGCCTTCCTACCTGCAGAGCGGAGGAGGATTTTCAGGTAAGCGACTCGCTCGCGAACGTTCCGATTGTACGCCCAGCGGTGAGGCTTGTGCTCTGCACGGCACAGGAGGAGCGGAGCGTTGGCTCCCGCGCTGGGTGGGAAGCCGCGGCTCGGGGAGAGAGACGGTGGGGTGGCCGGTGGGAGCCTCCGGCCGCGCGGGCGGGGCTCTGCGGAGCAGAGCAGAACCGCCGCCCGGGTCTCTGCCCTGCCCCGCGCCCCCAGCCGAGTGCAGCTCGGTTAGATTCCTCGCTGGTGCACGGTCCCTTCCAAGGCTTCATCTTATGAGCAGCTGGTATAGCCATGATACTTATTTTAAGGACATTCTTAGGGAATAATATAGCGGAAAAGGGGACTTCTTTTTATTAGGGCTACGTATAAATCAAACCACGATCAACAGTTGGATATTCTTTTTTTTTTTCTTTAGATTTTTGTTTTCAAGTCGCTGTCATACACGGCTGAGAAATAACATCTAGGTATTGTGCTTGATGGTCTAGGAAAATAAGTTTTTCACTTTGTTTTACCATCAAACAAATGATAAAAACTGACTTCTTCGGGCCCACTGCAGTCCATTTTCGGATCTGCCTCTGTAGCACTGCTGACGAGGGCACTTGAGGGGCCGGAGAGAGGGGGCCGCTGCACTTCGGAGGTGTCCCTCATTTCTCCCACCTGTCAGAAGGCCGCGTTGACACTGAGCTGCTTCCCCCTAGTACTCCAGCCGCTGAAATTCCAGGTCCGACTTGACAGCGAAAACGACCTCAAAACTTTCATCAGATTCTGAAAAGGGTCCTTGGCCAAACACTAGTTAAGAAATGAGAGATTAAAAATGACACAAAGATTTTTGTCTCCTTTATCTGGACAGCTTTCCGGGTCCCTGAACCTTGGTTGCCCCATCTGTAAAATGGGAATAATTAACTCTACCCATAATATTATTGTATTAAATTAAAAATCTTCATAAAGTACTTAGTATTGGCGACGAGAAGTAAGTAAAAGTTGTCTTCAATCAACATTAGTTTCCTTCCTGACTTCTCACTGTGCTAAATATAGTTAGCCTAAGATTGAATTCAGTAAATCAGTCTAATTTGAACAGTACAGATTGTAATGAGCTCCCATCTCCACTGTTTAATTGCCTTTTGTAGTAAGTCCTCCAAAGCTGGCTGAAAACCTCAGCCTCCCACACCACCAACCCCACCCCCCCGCCATGCTTTTCTTAATTATGCAATTATTTCTTAAATCTGAACTTTAGTTTTCGTTGGCTTGTGTTACCATAAGCTTCTTTTCGATCTCAGATATGTTGTACTCTTCCTGTTAATTCTGGTTTCTGGTTTTGTGGCACCTGTGCATTTAGTGAGTTAGTCCACCATACATTTGAGACACTGATAATATTTAGGACGAGTCCTTTTGCTGTGACGGTGGCCCTGACACCTTCTGGTATTATAACCTTGAGAAAATTCTTTGCTGTATCCAAAAAATGAGGTTAGTAGCATTTACCTTTCAGGCTGGTGGTTAAAATTACATGTAGTGAAAGTGCCACCTACAGTACTCTCTGAAAAATCTAGTTGATCTTCACTAGATAGTGTTCAAATGATTGAATCAGCTGAACTCAATTAACAGCCTACTTATCAAGCTATTCTAGCCCTGATCAAATGCACTAAAGATAAAGACCTTGCGTATTCCCTGATATATCACAAAAACAAATGATAACCTGAGCATGCTTCTTAGTGCATTTACTAATTCATAACTCTCCAGTCTTCCTACTACCAGCCTCAACCTCCCTCGCCGCCCCCCACACCAGGTGGTCCCCGTTTATGATCAAGTCTCCAATTTTGTCAGATGTCAAACTTGGCTGTAATGCATAGGAGTTCTAATTCTTCAGTTTTGAATATCTCAAAGAACAACATCAGGGAGGAAACACATGGTGTTGGAGACTCCGGCCCACTGGACCTCCCTCTGCTCCATGTTTTCCGGGGGCTGTCACACTATTGCCGTCCTCTTGGTGCCAGCATGTGAGGACCTGGACTCTGGAGGGGCCTTTGTCTGCTGGCATCTTAGCTCCCTGTTAATGTGGTTCCTGGCCTTTCCAGCTTGAAGATCTTTTGCTTTTAAGGAAGCAAAAACAGTTGCCAAGCAGTTCTGTTTTCTTTCTAATTACTTAGTATCGCATCTGCACTTGGGTTTGGAAATTTAACTGGAGCTGCTTTTCCATGGTAAGCATCCTATGAATACCATGCACCAAGTCAGTGATAGACAAATAAAAGCACTCATGGTATTATAATGCTGAATGTTCTGGCAGCAGCAAATAATTCTGATATCTGATATGGGAAGAGTCTTGTATTTTAAGAACTAACTTCTTATAAAATGAGAGTTGTGAAATTAGTGTTTCACAAGGGATAGAAACAAATTAGTGAAGCCAGGTGGGTAATGGAGAAGGAATGGCAGACACCTGTGGTCCAGAGAGAATGCCAAGCTTAAAAGTACTGCTATTCACGATAGTTTACACTTGCACTGGTCAAACTCAACACGGCCCCAAATACTGTTGCAAATTTGGGGCTTTCCATATAAGCACCCTGGAAATGTAGAACTGTGAAGTTCACAAACTGATTCCCAACATCTAACACTGTGCTAGCAAATGGTTATTTCGTAAGTGGCCAGACTTTAATAAGTATTTATTAAGTGTCTTGATAAAAAGAGCTGTTCTGCAAAAGAAAAGTGCCCCCTTCCCTTGAGGAATATAATCTCATTTGTGGAGACAGCACTTATAAAGAAACAGATGGAACTCAAGAAGAGAATTTGGAGTATGGGCTGCAGAAGTCCGAGTCCGCCGGAGACGAGGCTTCCCCTAGCCTTGAAGAGAGTCCTTGGGTTTAAGTCGGGAAGGGAGAGGGTGCTGGGTGGAGATAGCAGGGAGGTGGAGTGTTTCATCTGAATTAGGGAAGGGCTGGGAGGAAATGAGCTTGGCTGTGACAAGGGGACTAGCTTGATGGGAGAGAAAGTTTCCTTTGGATTAGTGAGAAATTAAATCTAATGGGTAAAACAGCTTTTTAAAATGTTTAAAAGTACCTTTCAAGGTGGTATTTAGCATAGCAGTTAAACTGCCACTTGGGACACTGACATTCCACATCAGATTGTCTAGGTTTGTGTCCCAGCTCTCGATTCTGGCTTCCTGCTGATAATATGCATTCCAGGACGATTCAGTAATGGCTCAAGTGTCTGGGGTCCCTGCACTCTCATGGGAGACCTGGATTGAGATCCAGGCTCCTGGATTTGGCCTGGCCCAGACCTGGCTGTTGGGATTTGAGGAGTGAACCACAGGATGGAAGATGTTTCTGTCTCTGTTTCTACGCCCCCCAGCCCCCACCATATCTAAATCTGCCTTTAAAATAAATGAAAAGCAAATTCATACTGCTCTTTAAAAAATAAATACATGTGTCTTTCTTCCCTCTTGAAATACTGTGCCATCAGCCACCGATAATAGAAATGCTGTAATAACTCCTTAGGAGAAACAGCACAGCATATGTATCAGGAAAGAATTATTGAACTTTAGTGAAACTTTCAGAATTCTTGGTCTTATGATCCAGGGTCCAAGTGAATTGGAAGACTGTGTTCTCTCGTATCTCCACGTCAGAGTAATGGTTCTTTCCAGTGTTCTAAATTACATATACTGCTGCCTGGAATTTAATTCAGTGAAAGGCACTTAATGCACTTTTATGCCTTCTAAAGCACTTGAAGAAGTGGTTGTACTATTTAAAAGCTAAAATTCAATTTATAAGAGAAAAGCCCTTCCTCTATCATAGGTTATGTGACCAGGGCCTACAAATAAAACTGCAAGATTAACATGATTAAAAGGTAGATTTAATTATGTGTGTGTGCATAGGAGTATGCAAATGAAATGGGACTCAAGGGGGCAGTTAGAACTTGGGTTTGCACCGCTATCTTGACAAAGGGCGTTAGGATGTGAAAAAGTTCTATTTTCTTAACTACTTGGTCAGAGGCTACTTTGCATTTTCCTGTGAGGATACATATTGTAGTGCTAGAGGAACTGCTGCAGATCGAAGTTGAATGTTCATTGTCATACATAGGGATGGCCAGCTGACGTGACCTGATAGCCTAAGTAAAGCCCTAAAGGGCTTGGAAAAGGCCTGCTTGGTTTTTCTCTCCACCTAGTCGACCTGCTCCATGAGATGATGTACTCTCACATCTGACTCAAGGGTTCTTACCGCTTGATTGTTTAAAATCCTAAATGTCTGTTGCCATGCTTAATTTTACTTCCCATTCCTTAACTAATATTAAGATGTAATTAAAGCACTTAGAATAATTCATGGTTTGGTGGGTTTAGGGGACAATCTGGTGAGATAAGGAACAGAAATGACACTTGCTGACCACCTTCTATGTTCCAAGGTAGTCCTAGATGCTTGCCTGTTGGGTCTCATTTAATTTTCATGATCATTGCAGGGAAAATCCTACTACCCAGTTCTACCCAGCTTTATTAGTATCTCAAACACTGCCTTTTTGCAAAGTGTCATTTTCTGTGCCCCTGCACTGAGAAGCTTTGGTGCTGAGCCTGACCACGTGAAGTCATCTTGCTGAACCTCCCCTGTGCCTGAGGGTGGGACCGACCACTCAGTCTCTAAGAACTTTACGGGAGTGTTCCTTTGTTGACCTGCAGACTGTCCATATTCATTACATTCTCTAGATTTCTCTTGCTGGTGAAAGAACAAATATTAAACTTAACCTGAGTCCTTCTCTGTTTGCCTGTTCAGTGTCGTTGGCTCCTATTAAGTTGATAGTCCAGGTCAGGGATTCGCAGCATTCCCGGTACACAAACCCCACGTGTCGTGGACCTGCTAACAAGAACATACACTCTTCACACGTGGTATTAGAGGTGAATAATGGCAGCCGTGCTTTTAGGAATTCGGCTATGTGGTTTACAATGAGTCCAGTTCTGTCTTAAATTAATAGGCATTTTTATGAATCACATCTACACTGAAATCTGGAAGATT